CCCCAAAACCCCAAAACCCCAAAACCCCAAAACCCCAAAACCCCAGAATATACCCAAAGAATTGACGCTTTGCTTTATTTATATTTTGGACGAAATTTACGTTCGATATTTTGAGCATAATTTTGATGTTAGAGCCTTAGCAAATTTTATGAAGAGTATAGAGCCTTAAGCTCATCTCTGGACTTTCCTTTAGTTTCTTTCACTATGAACAGTATGAAAAGGGTTCAAATTAGTAAGAACCCTGCTCATAAGAAGAACAGACCGGAATTGGTTAAGGCTTGAACAAGAAGATTAATGAATGCTCCAACAAGAGTGGTCCATACCATATTAACCAAAGCTACTAAAGACATGCCATTTGCTGTTAAGATTTCTGCTCAGTATGCCCAAAGTCAAGGACCAATCGAACCATTGAATAGGAATACAAAAAGGTTTGATCCTATAATCTGGACAGTAGTGTACCCATAAAGCGAAATTATTCCCAAAAATGTGAGAATAATCAGCATTAGGAACGATCCCCATAGCATAATTGTTCTTTTACCTAGTTTAGATATTATTAGCGTAAATGCAGTTCCTAAGAACCCTGTTATTCCAATGAAAAAGGTTCCTATTCTGCCTGCTTTATCAGCATCAATCCCTTCTTTACCATCTGTAAATATCTGATTTGAGTGGAAAATAACAGCATTAATACCCGCAAGTTGATGGAAGCTAGCAAGACAGATTCCAACAAACATAGGGAATCTATATTTCTTTGTAAAGAGTTCTCTAAATTTAGGTTCTTCATTCTCTTTTCCATCATCTGTAGACTCTGGCTTTTTCTTCTGGATCAAGTTTGCACTAGCTGTTTCGACCCAGGAAGGATTAGACTCATCAAAATCTTTGTATATACGCTTCATTATGTTTCCATAGCCATCTATATCTTCCTTGGTTTGGTAGAAAATAGGAGTATCATACCTGAACACGACAAGAAGGAGGAAAAACTGGAGAAGAGCGAACAGAGAAGGGAACGCAAAAAGAATTCTCCACAGTGAAGTTTTGTATGAATCAGGCTCGCTTGGATAAGGCAAGATGAAGGGTAACGTAGTTGAGAAGAGCACACCTGTTACTGCTAAGAATTGGTTTAGGATTCCCAAAGTACCTGGCATTTGTTTGGGTGATATTTCTTCAATAAATAAAGGAGAAACAGTTCAATATGCTCCACATCAAAATCCCATAATCATTCTTCCTATAAGCAAAGAATAGAAGTTGAGGTACAATGTAATACCTCATCCAACAATATAAAACAGAGATAAGATCATTAGACTAAATCTCCTCCCATATGGCACTAGAAACGATATCATAAACGATCCAAAAATAGCTCCTCCAGGTATAATTCCTGACATTACTGAGTTAAAAATATCTTTATTATTAATAACAGGATCTGAGAAGTGCTTCAGCTGTTCAAAAGTTATCGTCTCAAAACTGTTAAAATACGCAAATGCATACCCCAACAGAAAGAATCCAAGCGACGAAGTAAACGCCATCCCCCACACATACACATAATCTACCTTCAAACCTTCCATTTTATTATATACACCCCTCAATCCTTCCTCAAAAATCTGGGGTTTTGGGGTTTTGGGGTTTTGGGGTTTTGGGG